TAAAAATATTGTATCTTTTACTAAAATACAAAATCTTGTATGTTTGTTTTTGGTCAAAGATTCTCCAAGATATTCGTCATACTTACTTATTTTAGTGTTATTACATTCATTTTGTTATATGCATATATGGATATGTATAATCTCTAATTAATAAACTCACTTTACTTTACTAATTAATCGATTAATAGATCAAGTAAAAAAAATGTAAATGAACAATAACTAAAAACAACATCAATGGAAATACATCATAAACCTGTTGTAACTAACCTTAATATTATTCATATAAATCATTATTTATTTAAATTAATATCAAGTATAAGTGAGGAGAATCACATTGTACATTATGTCTAATCAGTAAAGAATATGAATTATTTAATATTTTGTTGGTTATACATAATAATTATTATACTTATTCTACTAAATATCTTAATTAAGTGAATTATGCAAGTATAAATAACCTTAGATATGAAACAATCAATTCAGTCGGTATATATATATATATATATATATATATATATATATATATATATATATATATATGCGCATCATTTTCATATCTTGTTAATTAGTGAAACTCATCTGTGTAGGCTTTATTTTGTAGAAAATGAAAATATTAGAGAGAAATAATGCAAACTATTCTATCAAATTATTTCTTATCCAAATATAAACATTCATTACATTTATTTTGATTGAGATCATGAACCGATTGATGTTAGAACACTCCTCAACGGTGCGCATCCACGATCCCGCTCGCAGGACTCGAACCTCGAGCCTTCAGTCTTGCGCGTGAACGTTTAACCTACTGTACCACTGAGCCGGCATCCAATGGTGTTATTGTCTAAATGGTCGTCCGGTGCTTCCAGGTTTATAACGGTGGTCTAACATCAATCGGTTCATGATCTTAATCAAAAGCTTAATAATCTCTACAACACCCATACTGTTCATTACATTTAGTTTAACAAAGTTTAGTTAAATTATATTTTGTATATTTTCGGCGAGACTAATTTATGAACGAGCCAATCAGAGGCGATCTAGAGATTTCAAGGTTATGGCGCCAACTTCAGTGCTTAATGCTAACGTACGATCGGTTCATGGGGAAATTTGTACAAAACATGATAATTTAGAGGCTATAACAAGTAAAACGGCGAGACTATAATTTGTGGACGAATCAACCAGGTATAAGATAATAGATCTCGGATTTTAACGTAAAAGCCTTTCATCCATTTGGGTAAATAAATTTCTGACATTATAGCTGATGTCAGTTCGTGATGAAAACTCCATATATAATCCCTAAGGCAAATTACGATAATTATTGCGAACTGGAGAATAAAAGCACCAGTAACACTGGCTGCAGCCAGGTACTGCAATATATACGGATGTTTTAGGAGCATACAGACTCCTACATAGGCTTGGTTATTTGCATCGTGTCGTTATCCACAAGTAGCATTTTGTGCACTCGACAACCGGAGTGCACATAAACAATATTGAAGCTATGTGGTCGAGGCTGAAAGAGCTTTTGAGACTTTATCATGGCTCCAGATGCCGACTATTCTGTAGCCGTATGGATGATTTCCTTTACTGCATGGATTACGATTTTAGGACCTCTGAACCTCTTTCTAACCTTGACAAGTTTTTGAACCACGTATAAGTGTATCCATTTTATTTGCTTGGTTTTGTATAACATCTTTTTACTCTATGCTGACTGTTTGCTGACTGGCTAATATTTCTCAGGGTCTCCTAAGATTCGTTCAAAGGTCATCCATAAACTAGAGTCTCACCGAATAAGTAATATTAAAGCAATCTGCTCAAGATGTATATATGTTAATGGTGACATGATTTTCAATATTTAACTCCAAGTTACTTCATATCTGTTTAACAGGTTAGTGACTTTCTGAACTCAATAATTCAGTAGATAACGTGTTGTCATTTGACATGAAATATTCTTGTGCTAGGGTTGAAGCTGTCACAAGTTCACTTAATCTGCGAGCGAGAAACAAGACTCGGTGACCAAAGACCAGTAAGCTAGCTATTGATGCGTCCCAGCCCCTCTAACTAGAGGGAGAAGTCCAAGCTTGGAATGGGGAAGTATATTCTGTAAACAGCCAGAAACGAGCGATAAAAACAAACACAATTCAAAACGTATATATACAGTACAAAACCGTCCTTGGGGAGAGTTACCAAATAGCATACTGGAAGACGGAACAGACCAATAGCATTTAAGATATTTTCCAGTAGAAAATACTACATGAAAGTGACAAGAGCGTTTAAATTTTTTTGATAAAATTACAAAATTAGGTCTTTTTCCAAGTGAGTTCTGGGGATCTGACGTCCCCAACATCTTGTTTCAAAACTGGTTTGGAGAAATAACAATAAATCATCATAAATACAACAATAATTAAGTTGCCTCATCTCATCTCAGTGTTTAAAGTATTTAACTACAAACTACTAAACTACATGTACAGTTGTCTCTCCAACTACATGAGCTTGTGTAGTCGGATAGTTTCTCAAAGTCTGCCACATATAAAGATTGCTATTTCAACCTGTATACATAAACCTGTACTTAGTATCAATAAGACATTCTTCGGAACTTCCGGTAATAAAACATAGGTGTCTACACTTAACAATCTTGAAGATTATTGGCTTACTCTAAACTAATTATATCTGTATTTATTCTTTTCTGTGTTGTTAAAGGATTGTTGATAGATTAATAAATTCATTATTGATGAATAAAAGTTCTTCACTAAGTGTACTCCATCCACTTAACGAATTAATTAACCTCACTTATGATGTCCAAATTGTATTTCTTATAAATTCAATTTTGTTGGAAAGGTTATTTTCTCTCTAATGATTTTGAAGGATTATACGTTCATGTTCATTATACTGAAGCCTAGTATTTCTCATTCGATTTGTGACTTGCCGATTGTTTGGGTGACCTTGTCTTCTGAATATGACCCATATGATAATGGGGTTTAATTATTTTTTGATCCTTTTTGGATTAAAAATATAGAGCTCTTACTCCGTGTATATTGTTCATTTTGAGTACTGGTCAGACCTTGTTAATAATCACGGAATGTCTTTTATTACCTGAATTTCCTAGTGTGTTTTGAGTTTTAACTGAAGTTAATGAAAAGTAATCAGATTAAAGCATTGAGGTTTGTACGTCACTCTGCAAGGTACTTTTTTCAGCATTCAGTAGTATTTTGAATGTTATTCAATAGGGTTCTCAGTTATTTGATTAAAAGTCAAAAACAAGTGAACTAAATGCGTTCCATTTATTTTTAACAGGGTCATAATAGCATATAGACAAAGTTGAGACAAACAACATTTTAGACAAATGTTCTCTTGCTCTGATAACTTAATTTTAACAAACAAAACTTATTACATGGATATTGTCAATGATCGAGAACTTGTAGTGTGGCTTCGAGTCGCGGTTCACTATGATCACCGCTACAAGAAGGTTGCGTACCAGATATCAGAAGGCGATTGGAGGTTATAGCGAGATATATTTGTTGGCGATCTCGTGGTATCGAAAGAATACCGAGATCGTGCCAGGTTACAAGTGTGATTACCGAGAGTAACCGAATTCGTGCAAGGTCACAGTCAGCGGAAGGGAGAATATCTTTAGTACAGTCAAACAAACAAGTACAGTAAAACAGTCACTGGTACAATTGGTTATAATAATAATTGTTCCCATTAAACCAATCGCGTTCCCTTGATAAAAGTAGGTCACTACAAGCCATATCCCAATGATCCAATATAGCAATTCAGTTTAGTAGATGTTGTAATTGCTCTCTTGTTATATTGATCAATAATAGCATCCATTGAAGTTTGCAAGTTTTCTCTATGTGGACAGCATGGTTAAGTTATTTCAATTTATGAAGATTAACAGTTTCATTAGTCAGTCTATGTTCACCATTGATCAGTTGATGATCTCGTTATAAATGAACAATAACCAATATTCGTTATACTCTGCTATAATATTTTATTGGTGGAGGGACGAAAGTTACATTCATACTATTTAACAATTATGTATCGCTTGGGTTAAAATGGATATACAACAACTGATTTCATTGTGTTTATTCATTCGCTATGTAGTGATATCGTGTTATACGAACTCTTTCCAATGTACTTTAAGTGAACAAATATATGGTTGTCACTTTTGACCTGGTTTCTGATAGCAATTTTAATTATTCTTTTTTTCTGTTTGATTATTTCAATTTACTATGTAACCATTCATTCACGACTGAAACTTATTACCATGGTTTATTCATATTGGTCTATTCTCTCTACATTTCATTGATCATTTCAACTAAATAAATTGATTATTCAATTAATCATTGTCTATTTGAAAGATTCGTGTATAATGATCTCTCATTGATATTTAGTTCTAACCAATTGATTATGTCACCATGGAAATACAAAATTATTCAATTTTATAGTAATTTTATTGTGTGTGATCTTGGAGTTCTTTTCTCACAAGTTCTGATAAACTACAGTTTAGTAATTAGATAACATCTACATCGTTAAATAAACTCGATTAAAACAGTTACTATTACGCTTTAGTTGAAAGTGAATTCTATGAAACTGTAAAGTTCTTTCCATTAAATCATAATGTTAATTAAAGAAAAATTGATAATCACACATTACTGAACTATTGTTTTGTTTTAAGTTGAAACTTTTCACTAGTAAAGACATACAATCGAATATTGAATCAAACTTTAAGCCCTCTATGTCTCTTAATGAGCACTGTTCCTTTAAGTTATTGTATTGAAATTGCCTTGTGAACAATTTTAACTGTAATTTTGGATTCGATCAAATGTCATTTCATATGTGCTTTGTGTTGAGTAATGTAAAACTAGAACAAAAAACATTGTTCGGTTCTCAGTACTTTTATTTAGTTCTCCAATTGATGGTAGTTCATGTTAGAAATGAATTTCAAGTTAATATTTGCAATAATACTTTCGAATACAACATATCACAACACTTTTTTCGTGATCTAGATTTCAGATGACAGTTTTTTATCAAGTGAATCAGAAAAAAATAAAGTTGGAACCAGTGACGAGATGACCATTCAATCATCCAGTTATCCATCATCTATGGTTTCATTATCACAACATAATAATTCACTGACAAGTATTCGTAATAGTTCACCAGCATATAGTTATAAGTCAAGAAATGATAAGATAAATGGTGCTTTATCCGTTCAAGATACTCCCATCTCTATCGAATCTAAGAAGTCTATTCAACGGAACAATCATCAATCAATTATAAGTGATATTGATTCGGATATAATTAGTAATAAATCAACAGTAAATGGAGGACGTCGACGAAATCAACAAAAAGATTTTCTAAGTTTTAATGCACGTGCAAAAATAGTGAATGAATTGTAATAAACTGAAATTGTTTTCAAAGTTTTAAATCATAGAAACAGATATTGTTTATTCGACTAAATCAAATTATCAATGTGTGTCACTATAAGCTTCTGATCGAACTAAATATTTGTGAAAAGTTTACAAGGGAATTTTTTTAAATAATTTGTATTACCACCCCATTATTTATTATTTTTCTTATCGTTATTTTCTTCTATCATTATTTTAGTCACATTATTAATGATTTCATTATTTTGTATAATAAAAATCTTTAATTATGAAGCTCTGTTTTGCCTATATATATATATATATATATATATATATATATATATATATATATATATGATTAAAATGTTTTTGTTATAATAGTTATAGGTCATAGAGGTGTAAAAATAAATAAGGTGGTATGATGAGCATTGACGAATAAAATAATGAGAATAGTATGTTATTATTATTACTGCATCCCCCCTTTACTTATGTCTTATATTCTCATTATTTTATTCGAAAATGCTCATCATATCACCTTATTTATTTTTACACTTCCTTGACCTATAACTATTATAACAAAAACATTTTAATCATATATATATATATAACTTCAGGCTACAATCTCCAGTTTTAAGGGATAAAAACTAGTATCGAACGCTCACTTCTGAATATAATCAAGAAAAAGAAAAATGTTTGGATGAATATTTATTACGTTGACCAGTAAATTGAAAGCAAGATTTTGATCAACCAATTGGGTACAAGTGAAGAAAAATGTTTAATTATGTTTTCGTTACTCATAAGTAGTACTGTTTGATGATACATCATAAATATCACAGAGTGAATGTAATTTCAGTACTATGATTGTGATACGAAGAAAAGGTTAAATTTTGTTATCCTAAAATGCTGAGTGAAAATAACATGCAAACATTCTGTTAAAAATTAGATTTTAGTTTAAAAACGTTCATTACGACTCAAGAATAAAATATCAATTTAATTTAACTCTCAATCAACGAACTTGTGAAAAATTTCACTGAGGTATATTTGCAAATTTTGCTTGAATGATGTTTCATCTCCAGTTTAAGCGTATTTTCTTCAAAAGTGTAGTTTGAAATCTGAATTTGGAAAGCTAACCCTACGACCTCAAACGGTCAGATTTTATTTGGATTCGTAATAATATTGCTATCTTCCGAAGCAGAGGTGGATGGTGGCTAGCAGTGGAACCCAGGACGCATTTTTCGTCCTATTTTGCACTTGTTAGACGTTTGTGCTTGAACCCAGTACCGTTCACGTTAAACGCCATCACGTTATCCAGTTAGCTTCTGAGTCTAGATAGCCACTAGATTGTGCATTTGGGTGAAGTTTAATACATTTTTGTTCACGAGTAGATCTAAGCTAGACCACCATCGAAAATCTGGTAGTACTGAATCATCATTTCTCCCTAGCATGGGACTCCTAAGCGCTGTACACTCACGTACTGGGCTTCCAGGTTTTCAATAGTGGTCTAGCTTAGATCGGCTCGTGAATTCAAGTTTTAAAATACTACAATCTCCACAAATCCCCATACACATGTTTTGGTATTGGAAGGTGGCTAACACCATTTATCTCTGCTTATAATGCTTGTGACTTAGGGCGACATCTAAGCAATCCGCACATGATGAACATATGCCAATAAGAGACTGATCAGTTGTATTTTTAAACGTCAATCGAAAGATTCATACAAACTACAATAATGAATTGATGTCTTCAGTTGTGGGTAAATCCCTTGGATTAATTTCTACCTTTTGGGGATACTCGGCGGTTATATTTATGTAACTGGTCTTAAAGGACACGTATAGAAATAATTTTTTCCAGATCTTAAATACGCCGACTGACGACAGCCAACAAAAAATAAACAAACGTCTAAGTCTTTATACATGGAGATATGAAAACACGTAGTTCTTCAGTGTCAAACAACTACAACTACACATTTATTCACACTCTTTGTCCAGTGAAGTACGATCAACATTGAGAAATATCTTAATTAATACAAATAAAATTGTCCACTCAAAATCAACCTAATAATAAAAAGGTGATTCCAATGTAGATGTCATCCCTTGTGTAGTCAGTGACATACCCTTTACTTATATTAGATTCAAGTATCATGTTTTACTGAAGAAAATCAGAACTGACAATGATAAATAAAATTTGGACTTCTTAACTTGATAATCTGTAGTCGTTCACTTGCAAGAGTTAATTTTGACTACAATTGGAATTTGAACTTCTTCCCCTGAAAATTCTATATAATGCAGCATATTATATTGATGATGATTTTAGTCAGCACATTCAAAATAAAACTTGATTCATGTACTGATTTGTGCACTGTTAATAGGTCAAATGTTTATCAGGACAAATAGGAAAAGAAGCAGATAAAATGGGGAGAGATGAGGATCATACATAAAAGTATTTGAGCATTTAGAACTCAAATGTTTGAAATAAGTTTTGATCATAATACATGCAAACTTATCTGGTGACATATTTTTGATCTATCCACATAGAGTAATTGAATGTGTTAATCACTTGAGGTTAAGCACATAACCATGCTTACTGATTATATGAGATAACTAAGACTACGGCGAGCTGTCCTACATTGTTTAAAAAAAGTAATATATGGGATAGGATTATGTTATGTGAAACATTTCCATGTAGAATTAACAAAAAAGCGACGCCATAAATTTGACCATAAGTACCAGATTGCATTGATAGGACTACTCTCGACCGGTTAGTTGGGGTATATATAACCATTCAGCAGTGACTTTCATGAGAAATTAGCTGTTTTTAGTCATTGTGCAACTCACCGTTCGACACTGATGATACTGAAAAAATGCATCACACTGATCAAACAAAAACATGCAGCAATTATTTCGCAACGTAAAAATAACTTCAGAAATAAATTATGAGCGTCCTGAAAACAGATGAATGGGCACAAAATCTTGTTGACGCTTCCTGAAGGTTGGAATCCTTATAAAAAATATGCTAGAAACTTTTGTATGACATTATTGCTCGGAGTGAATAAAAGAACAGAACGGTAATTTCGTTTTATAAATGTTATCAACCTCTCTTTAAAACCTGGCAAAATTTTGTTTCTAGACTACACGGCAAGCACTTTGCTTTCAAAGTTGAAATACAATAAGATTGATCATGTACAGAGTGTATTAACTAACAGAGATTTCAAAACTTCTTATGTTCTTACATGATTTTTTAACTCTCAAAAGACCGAGATATTGGATGAATTCTGCTTAAAACCTGATTACATTAATATAAATTTACTCGAAGTATGACAAACCTACATCATTAGAATAAAGAATTGTATAAGTTATGCACATGACAGAACCTAATGTCTGTTAATTATTTTAGGTCTGAATACTTTTCAGGATAATAATAGCTCTACTTCTGTGAGATGAAAAAATTTGAGAAATCAAAACTTTTTTGAAAAAAAAAACAATATTGTGTGAGTATGTACAATGAGTAGTATTATCTTATCCCTGTGTTGACCTACGCTCCAATGATAGGAGTTAGTTGTGAGGTAAGAACTGACGTTTTTTTGAAGTACAAGTGATTTAACAGTGAAAGCATTCAACTATCGCTTTATGAGTTATCGATTTGAGTACAGATCCAAATATTTTGATCTAAATGACCGGGTAAAATTACTAACTCTCATACAAAGTGTATGCTTCAAAGCAGTTATCATGAACCGATTCTTCGTTACTGAGTTGTCTTAACAAGTTAGAATACAACTGCATTTGGTCAACTAGCTTTGGATGAGATCGTATTATTAGTCGTTAGATCACGGCTTTTTATCTGCTAAAATGTATCAGCCACTTTACTTAAAGAGACCAAAGATAAGAATATACAATTAACTCTTTTATTCGCTTATTATTTTATATTTAGTATTTGTCACCAGCAAAATATATCTATACGGAATTGTTTAATAAGGCAGAAAGTCAATAAAAAAATCATGAATTGACATTCAAATGTTATTAACAATAATAAGTTCTAAAGAAAGCAGTGAAAAACATTCTAAGCAATGCACAATAACATGTAATAATGGATTCAAATTAATAATCGGCTAATAATCAATGAGTATTTTGTTTATCCTCTCTGTACATTTCTGTCACACATTTTCTTGGATATTTTTAATCAAAATAATCTTACAAATAAAGCTTAAGTGCACCATAATAAAATCGTTTAAATGTCATCATATCTTTAGTTCATGTATTCAGGAGTACAATACTGAATCTAGACATAGCAATTAAAATGTTTTCACTTTATTTGGGTCATATACAATATAACTTATATACAGTTATTTTCACTAAACACAACAAATCTGAAACACATGACATTTAAAATTCACATTCATCAGAATCCCATGAATAAGATTCAATTTGTTCCTCAGGAAGGTCCATTTCTTCATCATAAGTAAAATCGTGTTTTGTGGGCAGCATTTCGTTCCGTTCGGACAACTTATTCATAACAGTTTTCTTTCTAGAGAGTAAAGTAGAGAACAAATGGTGCAGAACCTGAAGATAAGATTTCAATTGGGGCAGTAAAGGAATAATAATTTATGGTTGACTGAATTAATTTGAGATTATTAGTATTACCTAAATGTTTTATAACGCAAATATTTTTTTGACGTTGCTACTACGTCAAGGGATAGTTATTTTAAACATCTCGCAGTTTCAGTTATTAAAATTTATGGATATGAAATTTTGTCATTAAGAGTAGAGGATATTCGTAGATTACTGATATTCCATCATAGGTGTCTAGGGGGCATTGCCCAGGCATTTTGAGACCACGGAGTAAACAATACCTGGGTGAGGAAAAGAATACCATGTGAAGATGTCAAATCGGTTGATAAAGTACTTAATCTTCGTCAACTGAGTTGATTAGAATATGTGTTACGTATGCTTAATCAACGCCTACTTTGACAGGAGGTGTATTTCAGGTGTAGAACAAGGCTCGAAGAAAGTCTTAGTCATAAAAAAACAGGAAAAAGTGGTCAGTAAAATTTATAAGTGATGCAGTTGTTTAATAGGTTTGCACTCTTTTCTATGGTGTCTACCGTAATGCCACAATCATCATATAGGACAGTGAAATTAGATTCTTTTTTAATATTTATCACTTACAAATAATCTCAACCAAGAAACGCTAATGCATGGTAGCAGTAATGATAGAAATTCTTAATCACCACTTAAAATGAACCTCGGAGTTTATGGAAAAAATTCGAAACTCTAAAAATAAGAAAATGAAATTCAGATATTAACAACATAGGACTTTTTATTTGATCTTTCTTGTTTGCCGTCGACGAATTCCTGAATTAGTCGTTTATTTAATTCTAAAGTTACAAACCATAGAAAATCTGTAATGCTTAGCCTCAAACCAAATTTGTTGATTGTAGTTTACAAAGACAGTGTACACCACCATCGGTATAGTATACAGATAGCAGGTTGTTGGACTAACTACTAATTTAATATTACGTAGCATACAAAACGAAAAACCATATGTGAAATCATGAAAGTAGTTTGATTCTAAGCTGCCTTATTGATCGTTGAAACGTCAAACATAGAGTAGTGGGTTAACATAGTTTGCAACATTATCAAAACCTTAAATAAACAGTAATGACTCTAAACGTTTCCTCTGGAAATTTAAGTCTCAAAAGACTTTTGAAATAGTTCTGAATTCGCATAAACCTAAATGGTGTAGGACGCTTTTGTGATGTTTGAATGAATTAATGATTCCTTTGTACTTGTTGAATGCTTGATTTCGAATTCCAAATACGGTACATTCGTCTGTGCTTATCGAGTGCTTCTTGATCCATTTGCGTTATTTCTGGGATTTTCAGTTCATACTATAATTAAAATACTCCTAACTATCATGGTTTTACATTAATAAACACGTCTTTCAAACTCGAACTGCCGTAACCGCATGTTAAATAGATATAAACTAGTACCAATCTTGCAGGATTTAAAGCAGAGTACATCAGGTCGCTCAAACTGAAGTTTTATCTTAAACTGGTGGCGCAACCGACAACACTAAATAAGTATTGATAAAATAGAGAGATAGATTTTAAATAAGGAAAAAACTTTGACATCAAGTTAAAACGTAGATTTAAGGTTACTAAGCGGAGTCAGTCTTCAGTTTTGCTAGTGTCAACAGTTAACACAAGAAAACACTCAAGTTTATGACGCAACAAATTTTACTGAAATGCAAGAAAAGTCTTAAATCTATCATCTTTAGAAGCAGAATTCTTCTTACTTTTGATTTATAAGGCTAACAAAATAGACATTTGAATCTGGAAGAGATAATAGTCACAAAGCAAATCAAATTTACGCTAAAAAAATACTCAACAGTTATTTGTCCGTAAAAGTTAATGAAATAGTCAAAAATGCTACCAACGCAGCATAAATATGTTAGACACTTTTGCTACGAAATAGTTAAATATTTCTCTCTTAAAATAGGGATCTGCTTTGGTGGTTGCCAATTTTCCTGTCTTACCAGTATCCGTTCTCCCAGATCCATTTATGACTTTATTATTTGAAGCATGCTTTTCTGGTACATAGCCGTAAACCACTTCCACAGTAGCAGAGATTTCGGGAAATTTATTAAAATTTTAATGTAGCAATATATTACCTATGGGCATGGGCAATTGAACTACATATCTCCTGTGTTACAAAATCGTATGGTTAAGCAAAAAGAGAGTTGCTTAACAGCCATTAGTTGACAGGTACCGTCTATCACACTTACTTTATTCTATCATGTAAGATCTAAGAAAATGCCTGATGTGAGGGTTGTATATTTTAAATATCGTGAACTAAAAATCAAAAGTGTTATGAACAAAACCATGCAAGTGTTATAAAATACCTGAAAAACATTTTAAACAAACCCTTCCAAGACATTATAATCAACACTGTTAGAGTCTTCATCACTTCGAATAGGATCCGTTTCTTTTCTTCTGTTCAAAGAGTCTTCAAGATTCATTCCGCTACACAAATCTTTGAAAATCGTCAATAGTCGTAAAAGCTGTGTCTTAGGAATAAGATTTATGAACTGTTTATGACGCTCGTTCGCTCGCAATGCCTTAAATGTCTCAATGACGGATGAATTTTGAGGCATAGAAATTCGAATTCTCCTTTTTCTTGTTTTCAAGCCTCTTTCATAGATTAATACTAGAGACTCTGAATTGATACTTATCCCGCAACGTTGCATTGTTATTGCAGAACTCATTTTTGAAAGTCCACAGAGGCACTGTCTCTTGAGTTTGAGTGTTTAAAACAAATTTTGCTCATTATCAATAAAATTCAAAATGTTGAAGGAGAAATGCGGAGAGATCCTGTGAACCTGTTATTCACAAATTGTTTATTAGATAATAAGCTTCAACCAACATTCTTGCGGCAAAAATGTACCAAATAAACAGAGCAATAATTGGTCAACATTGAAGGTTAGTCTATCGGTTTTAAGTGATTTAACTGGCTGGAAAAAGACATTCAGCTAATCACTCTATTACTTATCGCGTCTCGTATGTTGCTCTTTTATGTAATTTTATGATAGTCCACTGTACACACTTTTAAATGGACATGACATAAAACCTAGCTGGCTCTATGTGTTTCCCTTGATTTAGGGTCGATAACGTGATATCTAACGAACTTGTTTTAAAAAAGCAGTGGAGTTATCGATCGCATTTAAATGGTTGTTCCAAAGCAAAAACGCTCATTTAACCAATTTCTATGTTGAAATACTTCACTTAATGTTTAGTGGCCCGATATTAGGCGGGTGCATTTATCCGCAACGCAACCATGTATCGCACAAGGTCATCTGTGCGTCCAAGCAACCACAAATTTTGTCACTTCATAATGTGTTTTTAATTAAATAACTAGATTATGTAGTTAATTTTGCCCTGTTTTTAATTTCTATTCTCCACGTCTGACTGCGTTACACTGTACGTTCACTGCACGCTGGGATGTTATCCCAAGCCATAGTGAGTCTAATCACATAGTTGGTTGTTTCCAGATAGACCGTCAGTGCATAATGTTACTGAAGAAAGGTTTGTTGTACTGTAAACTATGTTTCTATGAACAACTGACTGTTGTCTTCAGTCGGAAAGCAATATATATATCCTTTGTCTTCTGTTAGGTAAGTTCAACTGGCCTATATTGCGTGTTTAGGTTTTATCGGCTTAATGATATCCATTTAACTACTTTGAGCAACATGTCTGTGCAAATGAAACCATAACTAAGACACTTGCTTAGTTTAGTATTCTTGGTTGTCGTATACTTCAGTTGAGTTGAAAGAATTATGGTATTCTTATGTATAGTGCTTGAAGCCTGTAGCGAAACAGATCAGTTTAGTAAGTAGCGTTGCCTGTTTCTAATGTTCGCAGCTGACTTTTATCCTTCATTCTGTTAAGTATAACGAAACTGTTTTCTCAAAAAAACAGGATTTTTTGAAGCCTCGAATACTATTCCTATTTCAGTGAAAAGGTTATTTATGAACTCTGTTGGTATAAACTCACTAACTGATAGTTATAGCCATTTTAATGCAACTCTACAGAAAAGAGTACCTAGTATTCAGACATATCACTTGATGGTATAATTCACCGAGTACTGTTGAAATTCTATATCCCCTACAAAAACTATTCTCTTGAACAATTTTTTTCAGGTGGTTGGATTGTGATACAGCTGACGTTTTATCTTTTAGCATTGATAATATTTCACATAGCTTTTGTTCCGCTGTACTAGAATCTTTCGTTGTGGTACTGGTTTCAGATTTTACGTTTGGATCCGCTGCTTTTGTTCCAGGCATACTTATGTGCCAAGGCTTGTTTTAAAGGCTCGCTGAATGTGTGGTAGTCAACCTAATCAGTTAGCTGGAATTGCCGTTGGAGTAGATCCCTCGATGATATGCGCACATATTCTGAGCTCAGACAGCTTCTAAATAGCTACAACTACTAATCCGGCCGATCAACCAATAATTTTAAATCTAAGGTCGTTTCTATCTAACCGTATAGCCAATATTGCACACTACGAATATGTAATAACTGCCTTGAGGTAAGTTCTTTCGGATCTCTGCAACAAAAAGTCTGGATGTTCAACTTTGGACTGCCTTTAAATGTTAGGCGTAACATTTGAAAGAACAAAGTTTTATTCAAGCTGTTTGGGTCGTAATTTATTGCACAGTCGCTGATTCTTCTTTTTGAACCTGTTTAGGCATGACGGTTTGCAGGTAAGATCAGATTGTTACAAATGATACAATTTTCGCTGTAGCAAATTACTCAGCTGGGTTGATATTTTACAAGATATGAATTTAGATGGTTTTAGTCAGTATCACAGTTTAGCGATTTATGGAGGTTACGTCGCGACGTACAATTGATGGTCGAGAATAAATCCATGTGAAGTTGGGGGCTTCTGAAATTCTCGACCTTATATCGCTTTAGAATATCTTAGGTTTTAATGATGGTGCATGACGAAATCACCAGTTCCACATGTTTTCGGTAGCATATCTCAAGAAGGCTGAAAAATGGTGCAAGAAAAAGAAATGAGGAGAAGCAGAGCAGACAATGTTCATGAAGAGATAGTTAAGGTATGACTACTAAGTCTAATTCTCTTTTATTAAGATATTTATAAAGCAAGGGCATTCTGATAAGTTAAAGAAAGTAAGTGTAAACAAGTTATCAGTGGATAAACAACTGACAAATGGAGGTGGTTCAGAAAAAAGCTGGAGGTATGGGATTATGTGTAGTTATGAAATATAGTGCTAAAAACAGTATTCAGATACACAAATGGCTACCTCCCTTTTTTTACCGAAGCTGTATGAGCCCTTTTTTCACACTTCATAGGGTCTTTAGTAGGCTTCGTTTTAAGCGGATTGTCTATTTTCCGAGCAGTAGGATAACTCAGTAGGAAGTGAAACCAATTCAGCGTTCTATACACGATTTCATTAGATATTCCGCATAATAAATCAGCATCAATACCATAAGTTCGTGACATCCCACTAGACCAAAAGGAGCCGTAATTAAACAAACTTTTCTGCCCTACAGACATGGGTGAATTGAAGTTATCTCCTCACCATCATGTTTGCTGGTCAGTAACGCCACCCTCACTCCTTTGTGATGTTAGGCTCTCTTATGTTTGTGGTAAGTATGATTATTGCTTTGATCAAAGCCCATAGTTGGAATACACTGTCTCTACTGGTTCGATGTTACAAACAAATCAGATGGTTAAAGCATTTGTATTGTGATTTAGACATCCATTTAGTATATCACACTGCTATGAAGATAACTAATGGTAAAAGTTAAAAAGGTAGGTTAGATTATATGTGGCTTAAAGATACTAAGGACCAATAGCAAATCAGAGGATATGAATGAGTATAAAATTGCGAAATTTTCTGTGTAAGAAAAATAAAACACTGACCAAGTCATAAGATTAGTGAGTTGTCTGTCTAATCGCAATAGGAAAAAAGGACTTGACACTTATGAAGAATAATTTATCTCTAACTATTAGAGAGGTTTTGGAACCGAAAGTGAGGGTTGGGAGCTTAAGGCCATGATTAATAAATAATGAATAATAGGAGAGGATAAACCATATGTTCTGTAATTTAGTTATATTCATATTAATAACAATGGGGCTCGTTATGTTCTTGTTCCGTCTAGATATCAGCCAGTCCATAATAAAGCGTTTGATTAGTGGGCGGGAGTTCAAGTAGCAGTTGAAGCTCTTTAGAGTCTAGTAACATGGTTATTAGCCTTTTGAATTTGGTAAAAGTGTCACAGTTACGGACAGATATTGGCAACCTGTTCCACAATAAACTATACCGCACTGTAAAAAACTTACAACGCATTTGTTTTTGGTATTAACGGTCAGTAGTGTAATTGTGTTGTTTCTCAGTCTATATGCTTGATCATGAATCAAAGTTGGGCAGGAGGTTAGAAATGAGAGTCCATATACCGTTTTTTAGAGAAATATTGAATCGTTCCCCTACGGTGCTTTCCAAACTGCATGACCTCGCACTTCTTGAGGTTGAATGGTAATTGCAATTCTTCACCCCAGATAGTTAAGTTATTGATGTCCTTTTGGATCATGGATACACTTTCACTTGGAGTCTCAGGCTCATAGCTGTATACTATTTTGAGATCATCAGCATATAAGTATGGTTTCCCAAATCTTATGATGTTACATATATCGTTTATAAGCATGAGAAACAAGAGTGGAACTAATACGTTTCCCTGGATGACACCACTGTTAATTAGTCCAAGTGTTGAGAGACAGTTATAGAAACTTAGTATCTGTTTGCGTCCCGTTAAGAACGATGCAAACTGTGAGTATAGTGGGTTGTTTATTCTGAAGGACTTTAGTTTGACAAGAAGCCTTTAGTGTGAGACCTTATCAAAGGCTTTCTTAAAGTCTAAGAATAGGACTGATGCAAGGAGTCCGTCGTCTCGTTTCTGAGTAATATCATTCAGGTAGTCTACTAGGCATGTATCGCATGATCTGGACCTAGGAAATCCATGATGGGATGTCGAGGCGAGGTTATTTATAAGTAAAATATGTGACGTCTGTTGGAAATTCTCCATTACGCTTTGGATATCACATTGACATGTCCTTCTTTGATAAATTGGTGGAGCCGACATTCCTATTGAAATAAGGAGTAGACAGATTTGACAGCTAAGGTTGATTGGCTAAGAGTTGGATGAAAACCTCTGAGTAATTGCAAGTATTTATTTACTTTGATATTTTGCGCAGGCGTTACCCCTTTCATTACTTTACATTAAATGTTAAAAATTTTGCGTTTGAGAAAGCCAAACTAGCGCTCCAACTGTGATGTTCCATAACCTTAATAAAAATCTATTGAACCACTAATCTCACCAAATATGAAAGTCACAAAGAGGTCATACTACTGTCAATACTAGGGTAAGCTTTTAACAGTGTTCTGTTTGATCGAATAAAAGATTCACTAGACACCCAACTTCGAGATCAACAGGCTGGATTCAGAAGGATTTGGTTGTGCACCGGCCAAGTCGCGACATTGGAGACTATTTCTGAGCAGACATCTGAATGAATTTCATTACCATGTATGAATATCTTTGACTGTGAGATAGTTTGACAGAGTTTGTAAGAAAATCTTACCTACCATTCCTCGACAATATGGTGTACCTGAGATTTCCAACATCGTACGGAGTTCATACGACGGACTACATGTAAAGTCATGCATGGACGACAGCTGACAGATAC